TGATGAGTCCATGAAACTACAACGGAACAGTTTGTCACAGCCTCTCGTTTGTTGTCCTCTTCTCCCTCTCCGTCTACGCTTTACCGGGCAGTTATGTATATCTACATATATGATGTATGTATATACATAGGTTTCAGCCTCATGATGAGTCGGTGAAACTGCGACGAAACTGTTTGTCACAACCACTCGTCTGTTGTCCTCTTCTCCCTCTCCGCCTACGGTTTACCGGGCAGTTCTGTTTGACAATATAGATATACATATATATACATACATATACTGTTTTGACTATATATTGTCACACTGTGAATCAGAGCGCAAAGGCGGAAAAAGACAAAACAAGAAAAGGAAAAGTAAGGAAGGAGAGCCCCACCTGTTCATCACCTCTGACGTACAAGGCCAGCCACGCGGATGACAGGTTGAGCGCTGGTTGCCCCCATCCCCGTGTGTCACAAGGACCCACTTGCACACAGCCAAAAGGCAAAGAGGTAAAGAAAAGGAGGAGGAAACCAAACCTGACAGGGAAAGAAAGCCAATCAGTCAAACAAAGCAAATGACACATCCCACAGATAATCCAATTGCCACAAAGCAAATAACACATCCCACAGATCAACATATTTTTTCTTTTTTCTTATTTTCTTGTTTTCTTTTTTTCTTTTTTTCTCTTTTTTTTCTTTTTTCTTTAACTTCGTATCTGTTGGTAGTGTCGAAGGCTTTATATGTCCCCACCTCGGCAGATAGGACAGCTACGGTGAGGATGATGCGGATGTTCACAAGGATTCCCACGGAGAGCTGCGCTAGCACAGCATTCCGCAGGACGGCTAGCACGAACCATCCCATCAAAACAGTCCTGACAGAGGACATGTCATCCACATGTCAAAAAAACAGCAGGACATTCGGCATCATGCAGTTCTGATAGCGTCCTTGGGCACAAAAGTGACAACGTATATCTGGGTGATAGGAATGCGTACAATGAGGAAATGTTGGACACCCTTCAGTACAGACGGCGGCAGTCGCAATAGATTGATAATGGCTATGACATAGATGATGCATTCCACAGCCAAGGCGCACTGCGTCTCTGTCCCGACAGGCGTCACACGAGAGGCAGTCAATAATCCAGAATAAAGAATGATTCGACAATGCACGCAAAAATTCATTTACGTTGAAAATAGCCAGACTCATCGTCCCACCATCCCACAGTTCCCACTGGGCAGCTGCACGAATGAGTGCCATATAATGCCCGGGTCTGTGTAAAATACAGGCAGAAATATGAGGATGGTTATTGAGGTCATCGCCTGGCGTCGCATGATGCATAAGAAGGTGGCGACCATGGAAAGCTAACTGTAAGACATTTACAGTAAAGCCCTTTACTGAGGTAGAGTATAGTTACTCCCTACCCTCAGGAGGTGGACTATTATGATCATACAACAACTGATTTTCAACAGCGTCAAGCTGATAAGCAATCATAACAAATTGGGATGCAGTATAGCATTGACACTGATAAGCCTGTAGGCAGACATTTGTGGCTGTCAAACCACAAATATTTGGTAGGTCTGCCCGCAGATCCGGTCACCACTGGAAAGCCAGATCTGATCTGGCGGGGTCGGCGCATAAATGACGAACGACGTGGCAGAGCAGGCTGCCGGTAAGACAAAGAACCCCGCAGATTAGCATCAACACGATGTCAAGGAGGAGGGGGACTGGGAGGAGCAGAGAATGAACGAGCCTGCCGACGTCCCAATATGGACAACCAAGATAAGGGAGGGTCAGGTCTCAGCCGGCGTGGAGAAGAGGAAGAAGAGGAAGGGGAAGTATATGCATATATCTGACACACACAGACGGTTCTCTGTCTCTGTCTCTCTCTCTCTCTCTCTCTCTCTCTCTCTCTCTCTCTCTCTCTCTCTCTCTCTCTCTCTCTCTCACACACACACACACACA